TGATTATGCAGTCTGAAGATCTGTGGGGAGATGTCTTTATACACAGCTACTTAGAAGACTGAGAAAATGACGGGATAACACTAAGATATATTTCGGAAAAGTGGTTGTGACAATTGGAGATGGATTGTGTGAAATGATTGGTCTTAAGTTTATTGGTTATTAAGATTCTGGTTCCACAGCAGGATTAGCTATTTCAAGTTTGAAAAGACTAGACTGTGAACTATTTTTTTCATCATACTGTACTGTCTGGGAGTTTCCTTTAAGGGACTAAGGAAAATAGTAAAAAAATCTCTGTTCGGATAGACCCTAACCAATTTTCTATCTAAAATTCGAAGCAGGTATTCCTCGAAAAAAAAATCAAAAGCGTCATTGCTACTCAGTGGCTTGGGCCCATGCATTTTCCTCTTAACTGATCCTCCTGTCACTGTCTCGGTTTCCCGTAGTTATGATCTCTTTGGGTTAATATTTTTTTCTTACGCAAACTTTCTGTCACACTTCCCATGGCGAGGAAAATTTCCCGTTTCCTTTAGAACTTGTCTAGCTGACGAAGTAGAGCTTTCTGTTTAATTTAATTTGATGTCCTTTGGTGTGGGACAGGCCCGTCGAACAGCCGTAGTCTGCAAAGAGGAAAGAGAGACTTGTGGAGGAACCTACGCAATTGTGGGACCGAAGCTTGAAGCTATGCAATCAGCACGGATGGTTTAGTAGTAACGATTAAGACCAGTATGCGGGGAGTACCAGGTTCGAATATCGGCAGAGTTATCCGCCATTCTGAAATATTTATGGTTTTCCTCAATTTCTCCAAGTCAGTGATAGGATACAATCTTTACAAACATTTATCTGGAGGTTCATCTTCTAGGCACTGTATAATTCCTGTAGTTGAGATGTCATTAAGTGAAACAATGATCGGTTCGAACCTCACTTAACCATATTTAAACGCATTATAGCGTTAATATTTTTGTATAAAAGAGAACTGGAAGATAATCCGCAAGGCAGGAATTGCGCTGCGCGCTTCCCACGGATCGAGCCCTTGACTTATCGGGACATGATGGCTCGCAGGCCGGAAGATGGCCCTTGTCTCGGCAGCCGACAGGCGCCCGCTTGCCCACGGCCACCACTTTGTGTATTCTGGCGGCAATCCCACCAACATAACAAGCTGCAAAATGTGTCTGCTTCTTAATTATTTCGCGGTGCAGGCGAATGAGAGGGGCATTATGATGACGAATGCTGTGACTGGAAACAACTGCACTAGAACGCGCTTATAGCCAATATTTTGTGGGGATGACTAAATCGATAAGACTGGTGTTGCTAATCGAGCACGACTTTCTTGTCGTTTAATTAATTACGCTTTTTAGATCAAACTCGATTGCGTCGAATGATAGGATGATTATGAATGCTGAATTCGAAAGGAGATAGAAGGAAGCGGTCGTGGCCTGTTTAAAAGTATTTTCGCTTGGAGAGACTGAGGGTAATCACAAAACCCCAATCAGGACTGTTGGTATCGAATAAGACACGTCCCGGATACGAGCGACTGACTCACCTTGTTCAGTGGCAGGCCTCGTACATGGGGTAAAATAGATTTTGAAAGTTAGACCTCTAAAAAGCAGTCCACTTTGGAGAACTAGATGTAGATGGGTGGATAATAATAAAATACATGAATATAGCGTGAAGGTGTGGGTTGAAATCAGCTGTCTTCAATGGTGGGATTTTATGTTCCATGTTCCTTCAAACTTGGGATAATTCTTGACTAGCAGTGAGAGTAGTCAGTAAGTGCCAACTTCAGAGGATAGAGGGTGTCACGCGGTCAGCGCAACGAATCCCCACGGAAGTTAATCTCGGTTTTCTAGACCGGAGCCGCTATTTTATCATTCAAGTAGCTCCTTAATTATCCTCAAGAGGCTGAGCGGTCCCCGTTCCAGACTGACTACTTCTGAGAAAATGTGGTAGCGCCGGGAATCGAACCCAGGACCTCTGAATCTGTAGCCAGAAACTCTGACAACTAGAACACAGAGGCGGTCATCAATGGAGTACAAGAAGGAATATTTTCTAAATGTTTGGCCTTGATACTCAATTACTGCAGTTTGAAGATAGGCCCCTACACTCATGAAAACTAATGGCCCTATAGGTAACACACTATGTAAAGTCAAACATTTTCCATTTTACTTCGTTAAATATTTACCACTACCAAAATGGAGAATAACAGACCTATCCGAATTTTCGAACCATTAACAGCTTTTCAGAAAGAAAATAGCATTTAAACTTTATGTAGGGTAGGAGTTACATTTGCGTAATATATATCACATGAAGTTCGTCTAATTGAGTTCAATGTATAGACTGCTCCAAAAACTTGATTTCAGGGCAGTCGGTTAAGTAGCATTGAAGATAATCATGGCCTGTTGAAGTGGTCAGGTGCAGCCTTCCTGTCATGCTTTAGCTACTGCAACGCCTTTGGAGACTCAAGGGAAAACTGAATTTATTCTTGCTTATAGATTAAACAAAATTTTATGAAAATTTAAGCTTTACACGCCAACACAAAAGCGGTTCCCTTGGTTCTTCATTCGTTGCTTTGTAACATTTGTGTCCCTCCGTTCTTCCTTCTCTATTCCTTCCTCATCCCATTTATCTGACCATCTTATGGTCATCCTTCTCCCTCTTATCCCACTCCCTTATGTTAAAACACTGTCCTCATTCTCTTCCTTTCCATCACATCTTCGCTCCTTCCCCCCGCCTTTTAATTTGCAATCGTCAGTTTCCATCTTCCTCTGTACTCAAATGCTTTTGTAATCACAGTCCACGTGAAAGTTTACACACGCGTTATCCAATGACGCTTTGAAACCAATGATTGACGTCATCTGACAGTCATTGAGGGTAACTACGTTCTTTGTACTCACAACACGTATGTGAGAACGTTCTGAAAGCAGCGTTATGTAAAGCAAGAAACGTATCAAGGGCCGACAGTGCACTCCCCCAACAGGCGGTTAATGCAACACGCACACCCCCTGGGAAACTCATATCTCAGGTATTCATTTGATTTTCTCAACAGATGGCAGTGCAAGCGGGGGCGGAGGTTCGGCGACAAGTGCTTCTTCGTCAGTGGCAGAACAGAACATCAGGCGTTACCGAACGGCGTTCACACGCGAACAGCTGGCGCGACTGGAAAAGGAGTTCTATAAGGAGAACTACGTGTCGCGGCCCCGAAGGTGCGAACTCGCATCTCAGCTCAATTTGCCGGAGTCCACAATCAAGGTATTTAACTTTCCTTAGAATGATAAGGTGGGCAGGGCATGTAGCACGAATGGGGGAGAGGGGAATGCATACAGAATATTGGTGAGAAAGCCAGAAGGAAAGAGACCACTGGAAAGACCAAGGCGTAGGTGGGTGGACATTATTAAAATCGANCAAACGCCCTGTCGTTATATCCGGGTCCGTTATAACGAGGGTTTGCTGTAATCTGCATTAGCGATAAAGCTTGTTAACTAAACTATTAAAATAATAAAATTAGTGACAATAGTCTTGCTTGTAAGCTGCAGTAATGTGGAACGAGGGTTCAGTGGCAACTGTTCCCACAGTCTGTGATAGAAAAACCACGAGGAAGATCCAGTGAGGGGAGCAATGGCAAATCCGAGGCCAGAGCCCCGTACGTCAGAATTAAGGCAAAGGTATGCCATGAAGACGTGGGGGAGTGGAGGTACAGCCCACCACCGTTGACCGGTAAGGTAAAAGATAAAACTGTCCCTATGCTCAACGAATTAAGCACTACGCCATGAAGGCGTGTGGGGAAGTGGATGTATAGATCCACATTTTCTTCGCCAGTACTAGATAGAAATGAGTGGTCAGCTTCACGACCCTGTCGCTTTGTCTCTGGAGGTGCCCTCGGCACCCATTGGATGGGCGACTGGGTCGGCCCCAGAGCCGGTCTGAAAGCTCAAATCCCTATGGACCTCCATGGCCTCTTACGGGGATATCTATACCTTTTAGTCGAGAATCGAAAGGGTTGCTTCCCAAATAAATGTGAAACACTTAACCGCTATGCTAATTGCCGGGCATACAAAGTATCACCTGCAGAGCACTGTCCCGTGAGATGGTACGCAATGTACCATGTCGCAATGTCACCCAATACGGCGTTATATCCCAGAAGTCATGGCTCGCCATGACAACTGCTATGAGAACCTCAAGTCTCGAATGCGACTGGAGTTCTCAGCAGTGGAGATCCTTACTGACGAACATGCGGACCAATACAAATGACATTGGGGTTCTTCTTGGTTTCGTGATTGATGGCCCGTTCACTAGTAGGCTAATAAACTTTTCATAGGCCTAAACTGTTGACTTGTCGATAATCACATCATACTGTCTGCTAGCCTGTGAAAGAAGCTGACGCCTGGTACAAAATATTCTGTGAGGTAATTCAGTGATTCCGGCCAGTTACATGACGCTCGAGACCTGTGCAATTTTGTTTCGTTATTAATCTTCGCTGTTCATTCCCGACATGTAATGTTGTCACACTGCTTCCAAAAGACTTCTAAATGCTAATTCATCACGTAGCCTGGCAGTCAACAGATTCTTTGCTCCAGACATGGGTTTCTTTTCATTAAAATCCAGTTACACCACGAAATAAGCTCAACAATCTCGTGGAAACTTGGAAAAATACATATTTGTTTCAAGGTAATCGAATTACAGGACCTGCCCTGCCCTGCCCCAAAGTTCGCACAAACTTCTTCGAGTTGGCAATTGCGGCCAGCACCCTGTTCGTCGTGTTGGTTATGACGCACTATGAGCGTTCTATTAGTACAACGAAACCGAAAGGAGCCACTCTCCTGGAGGATAAGTCGAAGTTCATGTAGGCCACACAAGATGGCGGAAATGAGTGCTGTAATTAGCACCTCGCGCTGTACTAACGAAACTGAAAACATCAGTTTACTATTTTGAAGACTACAAGAATGATGTGGGCTCAGTGTTCAACTATAAAGGCGCGTCCACATTACTCGTGCTCATGCTCGTGCTCGTGTGACTCGCTGTGCTCGCTAGTAATGCGGACGATATGACAAGTCACGAGACAAGCAAATTTAAAATATTTAATTTAAGAACCATAGCCAATAAATTAAAATACGACTACAGCCTATACACACTACGAGTAAATATACGGATCCTCACTCGCCGAAGCCTGGCGAGCAACTAAAGTAGTGTGGACGAAGATTTACGAGCACAAGTAAAAGCCAGACGAGTCTCCCGACGAGCACGATTAATGTGGACGCGCATTTAGACAAATAAAACCTAACTTTACGCATTGAAACTTAACATGAAACGATACAAAACCTAGTCTTGGCCACTCAAGATGAACGAATCGCTTTTACTACAATGAAATGCTCGCCGGAGCCGCGTTTGAAAGAGCAGTGTGCGTATTAATTTTTTTTATACTGGACTTGGATACCTTATTATTTTTATGTTAATTTTGCTTACCAATAGCATGTCGTACTCCCGCATTTCGAGACAAGGTTCAAATTTCTCTCCAACGCTGAAAAGAAATTTAAAAAAATATATTACTAACGCGTAGGCGAAATACATAATTTTGTGTTCTTAAGAAATTGACTTTTATGTATCGAAAGTGTTAGAATTAGAGAAGGTCAAATCTATTCTTCGCAGACGAAATTGGTTTCTCCCTTTTCAAGAAAACGCACCCCTTTTAATGTTCACAGGTAAGCGATGCAACCAACCAATACAAGCAGGCTTCACTGGAGTGAAAGGTGCGTTAGGTTACGCCTTATTTTTCTTTGGAATATACAAAAGATAGCGTAGTCATTATAGCGACTGGCTACTGGCTAGATGACCGAGGGGTCGGAGTTCGAGTCCCAGTAAGGTCAAGAATTATTTCTTCACCAATTCGTCCAGACTGGCTCTGGGGCCCACCCAGCCTGCTATCCGACTAAGTGCCGGGGGTTCTTTCCCCGTGGGTACAGCGGCCAGGGCGTGAAGCTGACCACTCACCTCCACTTAGTTCGAGGACAAGAAAATATTTATCTGCGTATACATCCACTACCTAAGGCATGTACTGTCTTCGCTCGCTTGGAAATCGGAATCGTGGGTTCGAAACCCACTCAGGGTATGGATGTTTATGTGCGTTTATCTGTGCTTGTGTACAGGTAGAGGCCTTGCAACGAGCTGATCACCCGCCCAAGGAGTCCTACCGAATGTGTAAGATCTAGAAAAACCGAAGTGAACGGAGTTCATGGAGGTAGGCCTAGGCCCACTGGGGCTGTAGTGCCAAGGAAAAAAAAAATTTAATAATTTTAGCGCAATTTCTATTAAATAAAATAAACAAACTGAAAAGCATTTATGTGAAGTACATATATGACGCCTCACCATACACTGTTACTCTGAGAGGGCTAGAATATGTCATGTTATTCCACGTCACGTCTGGTGGTCATTCCTCGTTGAAATCAATCTCTTCTGGGGACTATTCTCCCAGAAGAAGGAAGACAGGAGCTCGAAACTAACCATGCACTTGGGTATGCATTGCTGAGGTTTCGAATCCTGCAGCTTTACCTCCAAGGATCAGATAGGACCATGCCTCAAGAGGTTAATGCAGTTTGCATGATTGTAACTGTAAGCCTACCTCACGTCTTGGGGCACGGGGTAGCGTAGTTGGTTGAGGCACTATGCTACAAGCAGGAAGGTCGAGGGTTCGAATCCCGATGAGCTCACTGGATTTTTCAGTTGATCTAACCCTTCCAGCCGCACTATGGCCTTGGGGTCGACTCAGCCTCTAACATAATTGAGTACCAGGAATCTTTCTGGGGGTGAAGTGAGGCCGGCGCGTAAGACTAAGGGCCTCACCGCCATCTCTGAGCCGATTGTCTAGAAAATGTAGGAACTTCGACGTCTCACAACCCTATGGGCCTCCACGGCCTGTTACGGGGTAGCTTTACCTTTACCTTTTTCACCTCACACCTGAAACCCTACAGGCCTACATTCTGTAACCTATGCACAACGAGTTTTCAGACTCATGAAATATGGTTCCGAATTTAAGAAGGCCAAATGTTTTCGGAATAGCAGTGCGAGGGGCACACAAAGAGCAGCCGCTGCCTTGTTTATGGGCGCGATCACTTAGCGGCCACATGATGAAACCCTTTCACGTGCCGCCATCTTGCTGCTCTCATCACAATGCAGCGTTTGGTAGCTTATGTGATAATTATATTATTACTGCCACTGCTTCAATATGTCCATTAGTACCGCTTTCTTCGCCTTTAATTACTAGCACATAAAACCCGTTTACAAATTTTAACTGCCACCATGTTGCCTACCTGTGCAGGAGCGCAGTCATCCACCTCCGGCACTGAAAGAATGCACGATCAAATGGGGCTACAGAAATGCATTTGCATCTCAACAGATCATAATTGGCACTTTCTTTGGCGAGCCCCCCCTTAGCTTGAAGTTTCCCAAGTTCCTTTAATCAAGATGCGCCGATCCATAACGCGCAACTTTTCTTCATGGAAAGTTTATTTTAGAGTTAGTTGTGATTAACAGATTAAATGATAAAATTGTCCCTTCGTAAACAGTACGCGATCAGCTTGTACTGATCAAAGCAAATTTATTCCTAGCTTGAATCAATTAAGTGCATGCCGTGAATACGTATGTGGGAGTGGAGGTATGGCTCCAACATTCTTAACCGTGGCACAAGATGGAAGTGAATGGTCAGCTTCATACCTCTGCCATTTCAACCTCGGGGAAACAGTCCCCGGTACACACTGTACAAGAGACTTGCTGGGCCACACAGCCGATCTGGGAGTTACGGAAAGGAGAAACATCTTTTAGCCCTATTGTGAATCGAATCCCGTCTCCTCAGTCGTCCAGCCCATAGCCCAGTTGTCAAGTCAACTGAGCTACTCCGTGTAGGTGTTCCGAATCCCGGAACTATATGGAAGCGAGTGATCAGCTTCACGATGACGCTACAGGAACCTCAAGGCCAGGGTCCGGGTTCCTACCTAGGCAGACCGGTGTATCTCTCTTGCCCACCACTGTGTCCAGTAAGGACAGAGGACTCTCCCCACTCGTGGGTTCCGAGTACTCTGTAAACTACCAAATATCGGTCAATTGGAATAGAGTGAGAGCATTGCAAAGATGTAGCAGCGGGCTGTCAGTATCACAGTATCTGGCATCACTGTAGCACAATTAATTAGCTTTAGTGGTTGTCATGGCAACCACTCTTTCGCAAGACACAAAGCAGCGCGGACCTTGTGTATGCATAACACTCGCCTCCAAGTGAAGCCTAGCTCTGTCAGTGAATACAGACACTCATGACATAGTAGTCGGTGAGGATACTGTTTCTGACAGGAGTTAGGTTCAGACCGGCTTTGAGGCCATTCAAGGATGGAGGTTAAGGAGTGAGGAGCGTGGAGCTGACTTCATGTAGTGTCGAAATCTGTACGCCAGTGCGTTGAGAATAAGCATTCGAAACGATGTGGTGTTTAGGCGCGGAGGCGACATGGAGCATAACGTGATAGACGGGAGCTCCATGAAATTGGTGTGTGTGTGTGTGTGAGACAGAAAGAGAACTCCTTCACTAACATTTCAAAACGCGGGCAAATTTTCATGCGAGAGCTGCATACCTGAAGTCCATCTCCCTGTTGCAGGTTTGGTTCCAGAACCGGCGCATGAAGGACAAGCGCCAGCGAATGGCGATGGCTTGGCCCTACGCAGTGTACACGGACCCAGCCTTTGCGGCAAGCATACTGCAAGCAGCCGCGGCCAGTGCGGGGGCACTCCCCGGCATCGCGGCGGCAGCGGCGGCCGCGGCGTACAGCAGCCCCTACTCGTACTACCACCCTCATCAAATTTCACGTTACAACTCTTACCCGCCCCCCCTTCCGCCCTCGCCGCTCCATCGGCCTCAGCCTTACCTGACCCACCAACAGTCCTCCCCGCCACCCCTCCTCCCGCCGCAGAACACATCAGCACCATCTCTTGGCGTAAACTTGCCGAGCATCAATTCGACAATGCCGGCGCACTTCTCCCTGCGCACGGCCAGCCCCGCCCACTCTCCGCGCTCAGACAACAGCAGCCCCACGCTCAGCCCCCCGACAACTAACAACAATGAAGACAACTGTGATGGTTCTCCAAGCTGTCGGTGCGGCATTGTCAACTGCGTGGCAGGCGGAGGCAAGAACACCGACTTCAGCACCACTGCGCCACCCGCCTCTCTCATCATGACGACGGCGCTTAGGAACCCACACGCCGAGCGCCCCAAACTCTTCCAACCCTACATGTCGGACCTTACTGAACGCGCGTGAATCACCAAGCCGGCCGCTGCTGGGCGTGAAATAATGAGAGAAGTTTGGCATATGTGGACGTTTGAATTGCCCTAGTGATCCATGCAGCCTCTATAAATGTACTGGACCATAATGAAAATGATGTTCAGGATACAAAAATATTCGCTGTGAAGTCTGTCGAACCATTTCAGTCTCGGATTCAGATGCGTACTGGTAATTAAGCACCATGTTATGGAGGTGGATGGAGGCCCTTGGCACTAGATGGAGGTGAGGGGTCAGCTTCGTACCCCGAGAGACCCGGTACTACGCAAGGGAGCAGAGACCAAATGTAGGACCTGTACGAAACAACGCACAGAGCACGTGAGGCGGCAGCTCCCTGAGCTACTGCCTGCAAATATCCGGCCCGTACCAACGGACACGGAGTTGCTAGTTCCACCAAGATGGCCATGAGCGCAACAGTGGTAGTGTAACTGGGGCACCTTAGTTCCCGAGTCAACACTTCGCCTCTGTCCCTCCTTATTTTTATGATTTTATGCGTAAAGGATAAAAGGTAAAGTTGTCCCTGTGCTTAATTAATTAAGCACTACGCTACGAAGGCGTATGGGGGAATGAATGTATAGCCCCATGTTTTCTTGACCTCGGCCCTAGTTGGAGGTGAGTGGTTAGCTTCACGCCCCGGTCGTTTTACTCCGGAAAAAGAGTCCCTGGTAACCACTAGATAGGAGGCTGGGTGGGCCCCAGAGCCGGTCTGGACTACATTGAGAAGTGAAAATTCTTTACCGCAACGGGACTCGAACTCCTGTCCCTCGATCGTCCAGCCCGTAGCCAGCCGCTATAAGACTGATGGACGGAACCTGACTGTTTTTATATGAACGTAGTCACTAGAGGCACATTTGAGATTTAATACGAATGTGGCTAACGTAGGAAGTTGAGAGTAGGGACGGCGCTACAGAAGTACGAGTACGTAAGTTAAGCATAACTACAAGAACGGCAGCGGCCATAGTAACAAATTTCGAGCTTTAGGATTCGTATGCCTGCATGAATTCATTTCATGGGGGGGGGGATCACATAATACTCACGTCGTTGAAACAACAACCTTCTTAAAAACTTGTTATATCCTACAATAAAAGCTGATTAAATTAATTTGTCTTACACTGTATACATAAGGCACCAGTATAGCGACTATCTACGAGGTGGACGGCCGAGGGGTCGAAGTTCAGGTCCCGTTGGGGTCAAGTGTTTTCTCTTCTTCACGTCGTCCAGACCGACTCTGGGGTCCACCCAACCTCCTATCCAACGGGTACCGGGGGCTCTTTCCCTGGAGGTAAAACTCTCGGAGCATTTAGCGGACCACTCACCTCCAGCTAGTGCCGAGGTCAAGAAGGTGTGGGTCTATACATCCACTCCCCCATACGCCTTCATGGTGTAGTACTTAAGCACAGGGAAGACTTAATATTTTACTGTATAGGCTTACATGACATCAAAAGGTTGTCAGATTACTGAAAGGACAGAATTGAATTTAAAAGCTGTAATTCGTATCGTTGTGTTTATTAAATATATTTCAAAAAGTTAGACCTCTCAAAATGTCGAAGTGCAAGGAAGGCAACTAAAAAGTGAGCACAATTCAGCTTTCAAGTCTACGCCGTAGAGACGGTCTAGGTGCAAGAGTCAGTTTCGAAGTTCACGTTACACACGGGCAAGGCCGCGCCATAGCTCAAGCGGTTAGTCGCTGACTTCCCACCACGGCGGCTCGGGTTCGATGCCAAGTCTGGTCAAGTGGGATTTGTGATGGACAAAGTGGCGCTGGGGCGGGTTTTCTCCGAGTACTTCGGTTTCCCCTGCCAATCTTCATTCCGCCAAATTCTCCATCATCATAATCATCCGGGGCAGGTACAATAAGCCAATCAGTGGCCGCCGTGCCTAGTGGACCCAGCTGGACTCCACCCCCCACTATTCATTCATCTGTAATCTGTCAAGAAGACAGGTCCATAGTCTCTTCCAAAAGAGTTCCTCCACTTGATGCGATCTAGAGTATACACGGTGCCAAATCCCAGAAGATTGCTTTCTTCATAGTCACCGCCGTGAAAGCCTCAAATCTTACATAGAGCTTTCTCCTTCAAATGAGAATATCCTCTTCTGTCCCCAAGGTCATCCAGCATCTTCTTACGACTTCTTTCTCGTCTTCTGGTCACTTCTATTCGCCCCTCTATCTTTTCTTCAATAACTTCTTTTAGAAGGCAGTTACTGCGTAAAACATGACCAATCCAATTAGCCTTCCGTTTTCTTATTTCATGTAGGACATTCCTCTGCTCACTGACTCTAAATAACACTTCTTCATTTCTCACATAATCGGTCCAACTGATCTCCATCCTTCTCCAACACCACATTTCAAAGCTTTCCAGATGTCTCTGATCTACTGCACTAAGTGTCCAAGTTTCAGCCCCATACAAAGCAATGCTCCAAATGTAGCATTTCACTAGTTTCTTCCTCAAATTTAAGTCCAATTTGCTGGTAAAAAGATTCTTCTTCTTGCTAAATGCAGCTTTTGCCATGGAAATCCTGGATTTAATTTCACAAGTACACCTTCCATCATCATATTTAAAACATTTCACATTCTCCAATTGTTTTTGGTCTATCTTTATTGTGACTGGGGTTGGTTGTCTCGAAATTTTCATTACTTTTGTTTTTTCCACATTCGTTTCCATTCCATAGCACCTTCCAATTTCGATTAGTCTATCAATCATACCCTGTATCACAGTTTGAATAATTTGCCTCTGATTTGAAGTCTACAAGCCCATCCAGAGCTTCCTTTGTAAGGCATTCGCTGTACAAGTTGAACAAAATTGGTGATAAACAGCATCCTTGTCGAACTCCTCTTAAAATCTTCACACTTCTTGTCTCCCCTCTGTCCAGTAGCACTCTAACTTTCTGATCCATGTACAATTTACTAATCAATCTTCTTTCCCGCCAATCGATACCTGTTTCCTTTAGGATCTGCATTAATTTGGTCCAATTTACACGGTCAAATGGCTTCTGTCAGTCTACAAAGCAAGCACACAGTTCTTCATCTATCTCCAAAGTTCGTTCTGCTATAATTCTCATCATCCCAGTTGCATCCCTGGTTCCTTTTCCTCTTCTAAATCCAAACTGATCGTCTCCAAGTATATCCTCTATTTTCCTTTCAATTCTTCTTTTAAGTATCTTGCTATTATCTTTGCTGTATGTGCCATAACGCTTTTGTGCGATGGTCGCTGCATTTTGTAAAGCGAATTAAAATTACACACAGGCACCTCGTGTTCTGGAGGACGATATTGGCAGCACTGCAGTCCCACTGAGGAAAATGTAATAGATAATAACTGTTGCTTCCTTTGTCAACACACCAGATGGGGTTGATGTCTAAGATAAAATGTTTCGGCGCATATGTGTCATCTTCAGGTCTTCTGTTTAATTAGATTATCATGCACAGCATAAATTTATATGTAATCCAAGTGAATCCACCGTTGTGTTATATACCATATACTGTGTTATATATTATAATAGACTAGTTCATACGTTAATATTGGTTATCATTTGTAGTTTAGGGGAAGTTGTAGATTCTGAAAGCTCCATACGCATGTGTTGTGCTAGAAACCGCAGTACTGGCTCTCCACAAAAACGTTTAAGCACCTGATATGTTCAAAATCATATAGACCCGCAGATAATAACCACGAGCTAATGCTTAATTTGTAACACAAAAACTGATACCCCTGAAAATGACATTGTACATGTAGAAACATGTAGCTTAAACAGCCAATCAAAATGCACTGTAAATGATGGTTTATGATAGTTGATACTAAATAACGGTAAGCAACTCAGCCTTAAATACTTGTATGAATCGTATTGACTGAACTCGTTCGAGCCGTCATATTACTTTTGCCTCCGTGCGTTGTTCATTTGTCCCACCGGGAAGAGACAGAGGGACGTAAATGCAATGCTCAAATAAAAACAGATTTGAAAATATGACGTCATTAGTGGATGAGATCAGTCCATTTTTGTAGATTAAACACGAGTAAAAATAATAGAATAATTTAGAATGAGAAAATAGTGAGATTCTGCAAACTGTGTTCTTACAGTTCTCGTTTGTCAATATTGCTATATTTTTTATGAAATTTTCTAAACCTTTTATGGCTGTATTTTTTGCTTTTGTTTTGTGTTACACATGCTTTACTCAAAATTCTATACACTTCACTACGTTACTATGGCAACCAGTAGTCATGACGTAAAGCTTTGTTGTTAAAATCATTCACGCATATTCTAAAAATGTTTCTGAAAACCGAACAAAGCTGCTCTCAATTTCTTGTCGGTTGAAATATTTTAGCAACAGATTTATAAGACCACAGGACAGTACAGGAATTAATTGTACAGATAGTTCTGATGCTACGGTACTGCAAAGGAATATATCTCTCATAACATGTCTAATACAAACGTCAGTGTCATCATGAGGTACAGAGGTAGATCTTGTTATCGTCGGAAATATACTAATTTGCATTTTCAACGTAGGTCAAAAATCAAACAGGCATTTTCTTTCGCAAATTTGCCAGTTCACATTATGACTTACCAGCAAAAATGTTTTACACAACAAAAAATAAAAAATTAAATAATATCCATCATCACATATTGAAACTGAGACACAAACCTACCTCAACAAAAGATATTCCAAAAGAAGGTTTTTAAATGCATTAACAACTTGTTACTGCAGGTCTAGTTGGAAGATATTCAATTAATTTTGTACGTTTGTAAGTAAAGAACCGTTGACATTTTATTCACTAAAATGACTAAGCTATGCAGGTTTGTTTCCCGACAGGAGCAGATATTCTCTTATGCATAGCGTTCAGACCGGGTAAGAAATGCCGGAACGTGAAGCTGGCCACTCTCTTCGATCTAGTGCCAAGGTTAAGAAGGCCTGAAGCTATGCCTCCACTCCATCCGTGTCTTCATGGTGAGATACTCACTTAAGCATGAAGATAACTTTACATTT